CTGGCTGGGGGCCACTGAGGGAGAAGCCCCTTGAAGCTCGTGCAATCTGGGCATTTTCACTACTGATTTGATTGATCTTGCACACTAAATTAAGTTAAGTATGTAAACCAAAAATTTATACTCATTTAAATTTGACCAAAGTACTGTAGGCCTACTGTAAACTTAGAATGAGTACCTGGCAGTTGCTTGGTGTAAAATTAAAACATTTTTTACTGACTCATTTTATTCATGAATCACGATGTACAGACAGTACTTTCATGTGGAAAACACAGATAAACAAACAAACCATACGCGGTGCACTACTGAGTAATAAAACCACACTGGCGGCAATGGGCGTCGTTTGTTTAAAATTCCAACGTCGAGCGTACTGTGCTTGCACTTTAACTTAGGCCTACTCTTTGCTACACTATGAACGCTACAGACGAATGGCAAATGATTTATTTATTGTAGCAAATTATTATTTATTAGTTTAAAAATCTTGAACCGTGAGTAATCTTAAAATCTGTGATTTTTTGTTCATCCATAGTAAAACTGGCAAATGATAAATTATTCGTAAGTCTCGCGGTTAATCCGTATAAGTTTGCAACTATGTTTTTATTACGCCCACCGCTGCCTTGAATTCTAAAAATAAAATACGTATATTCCTTCCTAATTATATAAAAGTAGAGCATTTAACTATCCCATTACATTTGTACACTATTAACATTCAATAATAAAATTTGGTTTTTATTTTATCCTCCATTTGAATGGTTTTAGCAAAACCATTTGCTAAATAAGAAAAGAAAATTTAATTTTTTTCCCGCCCTCCTTTGACAAACTTTACAGAAATAAGTTCTCGAAACAAGGTATAAAAAGTCTCGCCCTAGGTCCTCATTTGAGATTTCATTGCATTGTTCTGTATTGTGATGTGGCGAAGTATGCAGTTCAGTACTTAGACAATCCTATGTGTTTAAGAAAGGAATTAAGAACAAGTTTTCATAGCAGCAGCGGGTACACTGACTAGTGGAAAATTCAATTTAAAAAATGTAATTACTATACAGTTGGCAGGATATGGATTAGCGAATCAATAAAGATTGCTTTGCTTTGACAGTGTAAATGAGAAAAAATCCAAAATTTCTGGCACCAAGCTGGCCTATAGTCATGAATACATGAATTGATTGATACATTTCTATATATAACCCTTGAATCTAATGAAGCATTCAAATGTGCTACTAAAATGAACAAGAAACCATTTTAGTGTTTGTTTTGGAACAAATTCAGGTTCAAACAATTGATTCAGTTCAATTGATACAAGACTATCATATTTCATGACAGCTGATCAATAAGTCCTCAAAGAATACGCACATTATTGACTAATAGTTAGTAATTCCTGCTATTTGGAGTGGAGTGGAGTTGAATAGCTTAGTGGTTAAGATGCTTGCCTTCTAATCACAGGGTCCTGGGTTCAATTCCTATCACAGCAGTAATTATCCTCACGACTTAAAACAACTCCACTCCCAAGGCCTCATAAAGAGACTTGATTTAACAAAAAACATCATTCCATCAATTAAGTAGTGAGAGAGTACTTGCTGTTGTGTATGTGAAGGAAATCACAACTTACTATATTAGATCAAATGGAGTCAGAGCTAGATAAATAGCTTGGTGGTTTAAGATGTATTTTGTTCAAATGTATTTTCTACTGTAGCTCTTTAATGCCTGTAAGATTAGTTTAAGACGTGCTGTGTTTTTCTTAATATGGATGCACTACTTTTTGTGTGTGCCACCGATGCAAAGGTGCAATTTCCAAATAAATTGATTGATTAATTGATTGGTCCTAGGTTTAATTGTGTCACTGCAGGATTTTTTTTGTGACTAAAAACAGCTCCACTCCCAGCTAAGCTTCATAGACAGACTTAATTTCTACAGCATCATTCCATCCTATAACCCTTTCCCTTTACTACTATTGCAAGTTGGGATAAGTAGATTGTTATTTGTTTGGCTATGTGTTGCTTTAGTACGAGTACTATTGTTGAAGATAATTTTGATGTCAGATATTAAGGAGCGTACCAGCTTTTGGATGTGTAAGGAATACAAAAAAATGCCATATTTGTTTAGTCTAGGCTTGATGAAATTTATAGAAATTTACTTTGTTCCTAAATATTTTTTGCCAAAAAGCTAAACTGTTTATTCCAGGAATTCAAATCTGCAGGCATTAATTATAATTGATTGGAATAGTCTACTATAAGAATCTGTATATTTGAAAGGTCTAGTTCATCAAAAACACTTACTAAGAACTTTTAAGTTACAGATCCTATCAAATTTTCACTTAAAAAAGACTGTCTTATTAATAAATGAACTGCAATAAAATTTGCTAAACGTATCTATCTCAACCTAATTTCTTTTTTATTAGAACAGCTGTAAATGTCTTCTTTTTTTTTTTTTTTTTTGAACATAAATGTCACTCTACAAAGATATAATGTGAATGTACCTAGAATCCTGTAATCCTATATTCCTTAAAGTGCTGTTTAAATTGGTTTCCGCATTTCTTGTTTTTTTTCTCTTATAATTAGATAAGCACTAAAGCACTAGTGCATTATTAAGCTGGTAAAACCTCTTAGAACCCATAAGATACTGTAGAGGTGGTGTGCTTCAAAGGTTACAATTATTTTTTTCCATTACTAATATAAAAGATATCAAACGTCAGAAGCCATTGGAGAAAAACATGAGGACGGTTTAGGATTAAACAATTTTTGATTTGAATATAAACAGATAAATATAACAGGCTGCTTCTGGTTGATTGGTCGATAAATTATATGTCATATATGCACCCATGCATTGTGTCCACCATACGTTTCTGTTTTCATAGTTTTATTCAGAATCGTTCGCTAAATATTCATATCTTAGTTTACCCCTCATCCATGAAAGCCCACCTGTTTCACACCTACACTACCTTTTTTTTTGGAATTGTCACATTATACATTTCTATATCATCTTTGTTTATCGCTTTAGTGAAAATGTATCGGTTCAAACATATTTTTTGTGTATTGCTAAACCCTGCATATCTCATCGTAATCACTTGATAATGATATATTATGTATTATATAGCATAAAAGACCAAATTAAAGAAATAGCATTTCTGTAGTTAATATAAAATACAGTAAATAATTTTTTTGGTAAAAATTTTATAAACTGCTTTATGCTGGGTTTTTCACAAAATAAACCTACTTTTCACCCAAATAAATAAATAACAAAAAAATTAATGATTGTTGTAACTACAAAAATGTTTTTAATTTGGCTCTTTAATATATTACTGTATGTACAGTAATCATAGAGTGGTTTGAATGATGTGGGCAGATGTTTGCGGAGGCTTGTACTTTAGGTTTGCAAATTTTTGTGGGGTTTGAAGTGTTTAGCAATACACAATTTTTCTGATAGTTTTAATGATGATAAAATAATTTGTTATTAAACAATACCTTGAGAAAACTGTGCCTTAAATATACTAGCTTGGCGCCTCATAGTTTAGTTGTAGACAAGTTATTGGCAATTAGAGCGTTAAGGGGCAAATCCCAACGGCAACATTTTTCTCAATATCTGCAGTATTTATCACATCGTATGTATTACTGATGTGTTTTTTTATACCAAATTTAGTGTCAAGTTCAGAGCAGGAATATTCAAGTATAAGGGGATTTTGGCCACATTGTGCATGATTAATTACCGATTCAATATGATGGTTATAAAATGAAATTGCTTTGCGCTGAAATACAAGTCTATGAACATTCCCCAGTGACAGGGAAAAAGTCGCAAATTGTCTATATGATTGATTCTATTGTAATATCCAGGAAACAAAACCACTTCGTAAAAGCATACTGCAAAGAAATGCCACACAAAATTATTAACCATAAAATTTAAAAAATTAAGTTCACTAAATTGAGGAACACTGAAATCTTAATAACCAAGCATTTATTATTATAATTTTCTATGTTTTGAACATACTGTTCTGTTTTATATCATTATTTATTAAGTTGAACTCCCAACAGCTAGGAGACTTTCGGAATCGATGCTTTTTCCTATTCTTCCTGACAATTGCATAAATTTTCTTCTGAATAACTTCCTTTTTCACTAAAAGCATATAAATTTCAAGAGTTTTTGTGAGAGATTTATAGGAGAGTACCAAAAGATGTGTGGTTTGTACAGTAACACAGGGACATAGGTTGGTTTCGGCCTGGGAGGGGCTGCGTGAAAAATGAGAACGCGAAAGTAAATCCCTATTCAAATGAAAACTTATTGGTCATTTACAGTGTTTGAACTCACTTAATGTGAGTATTTTGCTTCCTTTTGAGGAGGGGGTGCGTCTGTACCAGGGGTTTAGCCAGAAAAAAGTAATAGGCTGTCCAAAATGGAGACAAACCATGTAGATTTTTAAGTGCCTTGATCAAAAAACTATTAAGTGAAGTGCACAGCAAAGGATTGGAACCTTGAGGCTGGAATTCCGAACCATTTCCACTGCACCAAATTGCTTCTATTATAAATATAAAATTGATTTTGCAATTGACAGCTGAATATCTTCTGTTACGCTGCCACCTTTCTTCATCATACAGTTATGTGTACGTGACCCGTAGGGTGGTTTTCTATTAATTTACATTGAATTCAAATCAATGCAGTTTCTAAAAAGATTGTATTCAAAATAATTTGAAAAGGATTTTTGAAATCTTAGATTGCTATTTTCATGTATAATATTATTTCTATTCTATCTAGAGTTGACATATCGTTAATGTTATACCCTGAGTCCTAGCAGTGGTGGGGCTGAGGTAGTTGTGACTTCCCGGTATTGAAATCACTTGTGTTCTAAGTAGTAATGCCATTAATATTTTACAAGTTTGAATTCAATTTCACAAAAACACTTCAATAAAAAATTTAATGTTTTTGACATACTTGAAATAAACAACCTATAAACGTTACGAACAAAGATAATTTTCTTTTAATTATTCTTCTTAATCTATTCTTAATTTTCTTTTTTTCAGTTACAACTTTTACGGCTGATTTACAGACCATACTTTGTCTACGTCATCCATATTGACCAAAGGAAGGACGAAATCAGGAATGTAAGTTCTCATTAATTTCTTACATAAGCAAATGTTCATCATAGAAACTTATTTTTTGTGCCAACTAGTATCCGTCTTTTTAATTCATGTGGAACTTTGTGTTACTGTTAATTAAATTGCATAATTTTTTAAAGTTTGAACAGACATTTAACAGATTTTAAAATCTGGCTTTTTTAAAAAGCTTCTACATACTTTCATTCTCCTTTATACAAGATATATTTATTGGTCAATGTACACAACAATGTTTATATTTAAGACTGTAAATTCAATTATTATTCAATTCTCTATGTATATTTGATTACAGACAATAAAGTTTCTTGAATCTTGTGTTATAATGTTTTTACCTCTAATATAAGTAGACAACATTGTATAGGGAAGACTTCTCTTTGTTGACTCAATTACCAGTATATATCATTTATATTTGATGAAATAAAATATGAATTATGCCATTTTTCATTATCTTAAATTATATTGTTAATAATTAATAGAACATGTTGTATCCATTTCATTAATACGCTTTTCCATAGGTTCCTTTATTTATTCCATTTTATTAACTCTTAATACTTTAACTTTTTTTTTATACAAAAATGTAAAATAGATCTACCATTACAGTAACTCCTCTGTTCAATTCCTATTCCATTCCCTAACACACATTCCTTAAGTCTTCTACTAATGTCTATGCTTTCATGTGACCATTGTGTTGTGATAAATCTGGGAAGCAGTGATGACATACATTCATAGTAATGGCTACTAACAGATTTTTAGTCAGATTCACTACACATTTTCCTTACTTGTGATTTTGACTAACACATCAGTTTGCTGCTAGTTGAGATTCAGAAGGGAAATTCCCCTTCTCCATTTTTCCCTTCTGGACTAATTGGTCTAAAAAATGATTAATATTCTATAGTCTAAAAGCTCAGTTTTTAACATCCTAACCCCCAAAAAATGTCTCTCCTCCTTAATCACCACAACAGGGTTACTCTGAGGTCATCAACGGAGGTTTAGGCAGTCCTTTCACCTTGGATCCCTGGTTTCGCTTGCTACACTGTAGCCCTGTCAGTAAATTTCTTGAGCCACATCTATAAAATGTGTGTTCATTTGTGTTTCTTAAGCACAAATATCTATTTTTTTGTGTGTTAATTCAGATTTTTGGTTTTTGCTGTACTTGATGATAGTGAGATGACAAGAGATTGATTACTTATTATGCAGGAAAAATGCATAGCCTGTCATAGTATCGGTTTCATGTAATGTTGATATTTATAGTTACTCAAACACGAATGTACTTAACGTGTAAAATAACTTTTTCATAAAAAAATATTAGCATTAGCAAATTTATATTATCTTAATATTTTGGTTGGAATTGGTTCATACCTCCTATGCTAATTGTTAAAATTTTTGTTTTAAACAAAATTTATTCCAAAAGAGTGTGGCCATCTTTCTCCTTATTTTCCAATTTGAAAATGCAAACCCAAACCTTAATATATGCTGTTCGTTTTGAGACAAAAAGTCTAATAAATTTAGTAATATGTATGTTTCACTTTATTTACTTTTTTTTATTCAGTTATTAAAAAATATAGTCAGTAGTACAAGGCTGAAATATCTGCATTTACAGTGAACATAATAAAATATTAAGACCAGAATTTTGACACAAAAATCAAAAGCATTTTCGCTAAGGAAGAATGAAATTCAAACATTATATGATAAAGCTACAATTACAAATTCACAATTAATTTCAACAATAAATTTAAAAATTTGAGAATTATGTATCAATGAATATTTACAAATTATGATATTATCCCTGTTAAATAATAATAATAATAATAATAATAATAATAATAATATAAGAATTTATAAAGCATCAATTAAACAACTGAGGTGCATTATCAAAGGCACTGTGCAAGTTAATGATGGAAAAGGTGAGTTTTAAGTAATTTGAAGCAACAGAAGAAGAGTTTTTAATGTGTGCAGGGAGTGAATTCCAAAGTGTAGGTGCTGCAAAGGAAAAAGATTTATGGCCAATAGACCCTTGAATTGACTGGTGATCAATTTTTGTTTTTGTGCAAGTTTATAAAATCCAAAAATTGAATTGTTTCAATTCATGTTTCATTGAAACTTATTTCATCCTATTTAAATGATAGGGAATTTTTTTTAGGTCCCCTCCTCTTTTCACTACAGAAATTATATTTTCAAAGTTCCTATTAATATGACTATCTGTTTTTGTTAGCCTTGACCTTGCTATGCACTGTGATCTTGTAATATACAAAAGGCTACTCTTCTCCAGGGCTTTCTTCCTTCTTTAAGTGTAGCCTGGTTCACATCGAACTTATATCTAGATATACATCCACTTAATATCTAGATATAAAAGTTTGACATGAACCAGTCAATTATGTCTAGATAAAGGCCTATCATTAGGCGACTTAACTTCACTAGATTAACGGTAAATTAACCTGCTTAACGGTAAAGTCGACTCGGATTACAAGGACAGGATTATGTAACGTAGGCATCTAAGCCAGCGTTGTTGTTGTACCACCATTATCATCATCCTCTGGCTGGCAACAACGTACTCCAACAATGCTAACAACAGCAACAAAGTAGTCTCATCAGCCTGGTTTTCAGAAATTATTTGTAATATTATGGGTAAAAACCCAGCAAATGTACATTTTACGAATAGTCGATTTTACAACTGACTTTTTCCCTTTGCACCATCAACCAAGTAATAACGTCAAAAAAGTCTGATTGCGTAAGTAATAATGTATATTTTTTTAAATAATAACATTAGGTTTGTTGTATTTATTTATTGACAGTTCAATCTTTTCCATTTCCACTATAATATTTGCTATTAATTCAGTTTCAACGCCAGTTTCAACGTCAGTCGTTAAAATGAGTGCACATGTTTATGATGACGAAATAAAAGAGTGTGTTGAGGTCAGCAACTTATTTAACACTGTGAACCTAGCGATTAAAATAATTTGGTTTTTAGCTTTAGCTTGTAGGTAAATTTAGCTAGGGCCTAGTCTACTACTATTACGGTAGACCACGCTGCTGCACTGACAGTTGGTTTGTACTACCTGGTCACCGTCAGCCTATATATCAATGGCAAAGGATAGCTAGGCTAGGTAGGGGAAACTGACACCTGATCTACAGTAGTTTATGAATTTGTCAGTTTTTTACGAAATACCCCATGGTACTATTGGGGTTCTTAAAATACACTAGACGTTTTATTAAACAAGACAAGCCTTTCCACCATGCAGATTTTTCAGTCTGGTTTTCCCTCAGTTTGTGTTTAGTGACGTCGACAGCCTCGAAGCTGGCTGGCTGCTTTATCTGGCTCTAACTTGGCATCGAACGCAACTAGAAAAATCGGTATCATATTTCAAGATTTAGATAGGCGGGTTAAGGGTTAACTTCGACGTGAACCAGGCTTGTGTTTACTGCTTGCTGAAGTATTTACTGGTGTGACATTTTTAATACTTGGACTAAAATATTTACAATACTTTAACATCCCAGTCCAGGGGTTAAACAAGAAGGATGTACCCATCTATTGGCCATAGCAATAGCTTTGGAATAACTTCCTGCCACATGCCAATAATTAGCATTGTTTCTTTGTGTGTGCAGACGCCGATACTCAGGGGGATGGATGAGCTTTAGTAAATCCACTTCCATACTAAGCGCTGCAAAAGGCAGCAGTTTCTTGAGTATGGAAGAAAGAGATAGAACGAACTGTACATACTATGAGCTTCTTTAACATGTTGGCTGCCAATGGTGGTACCAAAGCATAGAGGGCGCCACCACAATGAACATCATTCCCACCAACCGTAATGAAACATGAACAATTGTATGGTATTTATTTTTTTATCATTGTTTCCGGGTTCTTCCCAGGGCTAAAATTTGTGTTCTGGCGATCCCTGCTAGTGGACGTGAACTGATGCTTTTACACCCAGAGCCAGCACAAACATGTTAATATTTGTCAAGGTCAAATATAGATTCAATTTTTGTAATAAAATTTTGGTAGCGTGCTCTAATTTTGTAGCGTATCAATGAAAACATCGTATAAGTCCTTCTTTGCACCCTGACCTTATCAAAAATACAATAGTTATACCTGAGTAAAAACAGCTACCACCATGTGATGTTGGTTGGCGATATGGTTTTTGCAGGGTTTTGAAAGCTAGGTAAACAGTGTAGTGTCAAATGCTTTGGGAAGCTAAGACTAATTTTTTTTTTTTAATGTCTGTTATCAAGTACAGTATTATCCACCTTTTGACCCTACTCAATAGAATGATATTCTATTTTAACTTTAAATCACGGAACAGTTGGTCAAAATTTTACGGCATAATTATGTGCTGTGTACTCTCTCGGTTTTAAAAGTCTCTCAAAACCTATTTATTTTGTTTTTATACTCTTATCTGTATTATTGCAGCCACCTGTTCTGCTTAATCTGTATGTTTGTGATGCTCCTTCTAACTGTATATCTTAAGAATGTATAACACTAAACCTACCAAAGCTTCTCGTAAATTATATTGTTGGTTAAGAATTTGAGTGTACTGTACTACAGCAAGAATTATGGAAGCAGATGGGAAGAAATGACATTCACAAGCATGATTCCAGGAATCAGGGAAAACAAGAAAATTAATGTGATGAAAGCAGATAAATAAAGAGAAGATCACTGTCTGTATATCTCTTCGTTAATATACTACTTTTTGGCTGCTTTTAGAAAAGAGCAGTACTAAATTTTTGGAAAAAATGTTATCAGCTTTCCATGTGAAAAATTTTTACTGGATCAGTTTGGAATGTGTGACAGTATAGAAGCTTTCAGGATAATCTTTTTTGAATCCAAATTTATAATGGAAAAGAAAAAAACTTTACATAACTAGGTCGGTGATTTTTGGAGTAGAAAGAAGTGGAAAGAAACCGGGATATACCCAGGTGGGTCGTAGAATGCCACAAACTGCAGTCCATTGGAGAAAAAAAAACGTGTGATGTTATCTCATAAGTTTGTCTAG